TTATCATGGCTCTCCACAGCTTCCTGTCTTTTGTAGCTCTTCTAGCTATAAGGCTGATCAGTTATTATAAACAGTCACCTAAAAGAAAGTAAAATTCTAATGTCAGAAAAGTACAAGCCTCCATGTGAAACAAAATTTCTGCAATAAACAATAGAGTTCTTGTCACGACATACATATATACATAAATAACCATAATTTTTGGTGAAACAAGACTGGGATTAATCTCACACAAAGCAAAGTAGGTCCTGCCTGATAAAGGATTTGTCATAATGATTTGAGGCAAGGTTTTACTGTTTTTATCAAGACACCATCTCTAGGAAGATTGCTATTCAAGGCTCGAGATCAAATTTTATCCATATATATATAATGTTGGCTGTTTGTTCCTATAAGAAGTTCATTCACCTTTGATAGGTTTTGTTTTTTTTTTGTCCTGTGGGGTGATTTGTAACTTTCCTCACCAGCAGAAAAGCTAGTCAGAGAGCTGGTTTAGACACCAACCATTTGCCTATACAGCAGGTTGTACTGGGTTACATGTTACTAGTATCAGGCCTGAGCTTCACCTGATACTGAATATTATAAATATTAACATAAATGACTCTTGGCATGTTTAAGAAAGATCAATAGTAGAAGATAACACAATAACAGAGATTACCTTCTTCAAGAATAACTAACACTGTGACCTGAGCCGGAGATTTTTACTGTTTGATAGCATCTTGAGAACCTTTTAAAAAAATTAATGGGAAGTAAGATGACCAACACCCCTCTCCTCACCAAGATTTAATTTTATTTTAAAATTTGGGATGAGTTCAGGGAGGCTTCTGTTGAAGCAATTTGATTAGTAAATATAATTTACCTTCAGGTTGTTAGTTATTTTGCAAACACAAATCTAAACCCTCTTTCTGAAACAATAGACATCAGCAAATCCTGATACTTGAAATAGAAATTCAGACCTTTCAGACACTGGGTCAACAGACTTGATCACTGCAGAAAATGTTCAAATGCTAAGCTGCATTGATTAATAGATTAATTTATGTAACCATTTTCTTAAAAAATCTAGAAATTAAGTTAAAATAATCTGAGAGTCATCAGCAGTCTCAACAAAATAGCAGATGCTATTCTAATATTTCTTTACAGCTTAAACCTATGAATAAAATAGGTATGTATATCTTGTGAATGATTTGTACATCTTGTGAACTTATGAATAGAATCCAGCCCTCAAGTGGAACTCATAAAAACGATCCATCACTAAAGATGCAGAAAAGTTGATCAGTTCCTTTTATAGCTCCAGTAAGTACCTGATTTCTCATGTTATCCTTTACCTTTACAAGAGCCATCCTGGGTAAGACGTTAAACTGCATCAGCATCCTGGGTAAGACGATAAACTACATTCAACAGCAAGGTCTCTGATCAGCAGGTTTTGAGGAGCGTGGAACCACCTCTTAATTGCTGATGTTCCCCGTTCCACACTGACACCGGGTGCTAACACCTGTTAGGGTCCAAGCTATGGGCAAATAGTTAACTATTACCAGCAATACAATTTTGAAGGAAATATATTACCAGAAACAAATTTTTGACAAAACCAAACCTTACCAGCAATAAAAAATGTTGTTGGCATTAAATAACCCATTGAGGTTGATATGCCATAAAACAAAACAAACCAAACCAAACCTTTACAAGAGCCAGATCAGGCTTAAAATGGAGTACTGCTGTCATATTTGAGCAGGAGCTGCCCAGTCCTCACATTCCAGTCTCAATATAGTCCAAAAGCGTTTCCACATCCTTGTGGATGACAAATTATTTTCCACCGTGCAACTCCTTGCTCACAGACAAGATGTTGCAAGTCTCCCACTGCTCTATCACTGTTTCCATGAAAAGTGCTCAGATGAACTACATTCCTTAGTTCCACTAGTTCTAACCTTCATGGACCCACCATGCTACACACATTGTAGTGAACCACCATTATTTCCTTTGTATTCCATTGATGTGAAGTAAGTTCCACTCTTCCTGTGAACCACTGCTCTGTGAAACCAACTCAGAAGATGAAGAGATTTGTACATCTTGTGAACCCATGAATGGAATAGGTTTGTACATCTTGTGAACCCATGAATGGAATAGGTTTGTACATCTTGTGAACCCATGAATGGAATAGGTTTGTACATCTTGTGAACCCATGAATGGAATAGGTTTGTGCATCTTGTGAACCCATGAATAAAATAGGTTTGTATATCTTGTGAACCTATGAATAGAATAGATTTGTGCATCTTGTGAATAAAATAGATTTGTACATCTTTCAAACCCACAAATGGAATAGATTTGTACATCTTGTGAATCCATGAATGGAGTAGATTTATATGTGCATGGAAAATATCTTCATTTAGATTAGATTCTCTGAGCTCAATTTTTAATTTGTTAATAGCAATATTTTGCACATTCTCAATGGGAATTTTCATAGAACTGATTTATACATCTTGTGGCTTAAAACACTCATATTCTACAAGCTAAAAGTGGAACATAGCATAGAACTTAGGGTTACATTTAGTCATTTCAAAAGTAAAAATCTAGAAATTAAGTTGCCACTAATCTAGTACTATGCTTAAATTAATAAATTGTAGGTACCAATGAGAAAAGCTTATTAGAACAATTATCATAAAAATATTTGTAGAAAAAGTACAAGGAAACTATGTTACAGTAGTAGGAAAGTGATCAAAGCTGAGATGCCAATGACATTTCATATTCTTTGTATTTTATCAAAAATATTTAAATACATAACAGAATCACTAGATATTTACCTTTTGATATGTTTTTTTTTTATTATTGGTTATTTATAAAATGTCTAAAAACATTTGCATAAATATAAAACTTTAACCAGGAGAAAATATATACTGTTTCTTGTAGTATATGTAGATTATATAACAAATTCAGAGTTTGTTATTTACAAAATTAACTGTATTTATGTTAAAACTACTTGGAATAGATTTTGATTAGCAATACAAAAGTTTTCAGATTTATTATTTAAAGTAATTTTTGATAACAAGCATGCGAATACTCTAACTGGTGAGAATATTTCTTCAGATATACAAACTAAAACTGACCGATCAAAGTATACAAATATTTCCCCACATCTTAATGTCTAATGCATTACTGAACAGCAAACCAAACAATTTGTTTCAGGAAGAACTTGATAAATTAATTAGTCTTTAGCTGTTATGAAGAGGCGACAGAGGAAAGCATTAATTAATTATTAATAAAAGATGTGATATTTTTGTGTGTATTGATCTATATGGTTCATTGAATTCAGTGCAAACATTTCATCTGCAAGATGTTTGAATAATTGTCAATTAAGGCAATATCATTTTTTTGTAATGGTCAGGAAAACATGTTAGATAAAAATATTCTTAGCTCATAAACTGCAAATAAAGTAATAATATTTGTTTCTCTATAATTTTTGCTAGATATGACCTCAATATTCTCTGGGGATGAAATGTATGTGATATTAATAGACTAGTTGTGATGACTTAATATTTAATTTCAAAACAAACCATGGAATCTTTTTTCTTTTTTTCTTAAATTTGTGACATAACAGTAAAATTAAAAATAGTAATGGTTCTTAGTTTTCTAAACAAAACAGTGAAGAATTTCTTTTTTAAAATTGAATATAGTAGCTTGTTTGTACATTAACTAAAAAATCTATCAAAAATTATAAACTTTGCTATCATATATGACAAAATTCTGAAATGACACAAAAAGGATTTGTAAAGTATAATAATATATATATATATATATATATATATATATATATATATATAATTTTCAGATAGTGTATCTGTGAAGTGATAACACAGCAGAAATTTAAAAAAACATATCTATGAACACAAAAGGGATCTTATGCATAACAATTTATCAAATGCACTAGTCATACACAGAAATAAATTCAACCACAATTTTGATCTAAAATATGCCACACCCATCAAAAGAGAAAGTAATTTACTCCAAAAGAAAATTCTCAAGAGTGCTACTATCGAATGTTATCAGAATATAAATCTATGCCCCATTTTTTTTTTTCACAATCTCACTTTTCCTGAAAGAATTATTACTTTCCCAAGCCAACATACACAACCATAAATATGTTGAAGAATCAAAAGAAAACTGTTAAATCTATCAGCTCATGTTTTTGAAGATGTACAGCATATACATCCATCTTGTACCATAACAATTTAATCACAATTTAAACAATATTCATTTAAAAAAAAATTTCTTGAGTATTACTCGCTTAATTTTTTTGCTAGACTTTGAATTCTGACACTTTGTGCCCTCAAGATGCTTTGACTGACCTACCTGATGAACACTCATGAACCTACTGTTGTCATCTTCACTTTTGTATATAAAAACGTGCAACAAAATAAATCCTACATTGCCTTGATAAAGTCCCTCTGAGGACAAAACACGTCAGCTAAGAATACATTTTCCTTTTGTCTCTTTTTATTCATATTCATATATATATATATATATATATATATATATTTAATAACATCTTGTTTATTTATTGTAATACAATTTCTGCAAAAAAATACCATTATTGGACTGTAGTATCTACTTGAATAATGCAATCTAAAAATGATAAGAAAATAATTTTATGATGGTCTAACAGGTGAGCTTAAACTAATAAATTTTTTGTTCTTGCTCAATTAGTATTTGAAAAAAATCAATTTCCCAAATTTTTAGCACAAATTGATGATTTTATTTATTTATTTTATTTTTTTTTTTTTGGTCAAAACTAAATATCTAACAGATGTGACCATAACTGTTATTGCTAATCGAATGTTATTTGATCAATGTAGCTTTTATTTCATTATTGAGTATGTTTTCACAGTAATATATATATATATATATATTGTGTGTGTGTGTTTTACATATGTGTGGTTTTGAAATCAATGCTATTCTTTGCTTGCTACTGTTATTGTTTTAGTTGTTGCTTCATTTATATCTTTTCTTTCTCTTAGGGAACTTGCTAAGCAGGAGGCCAAGTATTACAAAATTATGAGCAAGTATTTAATCATTTTGGAAAACTTGAAAAAGGCCACACAAGGTTGGTTTAAGTTTGTTATATTTGTTGAAGAAAATTATTATGATTTTGATGATTATTTGCCGATATATGTATACATTGTCATATGTCAAGTTATGCAACATGATAAGTAAACATGTAAATGTCAGTTTTATATTGGAGATAAACCTTAAAACCTGATAGAAATTAATTACTATTCTTAATAAACTTCATCTTCTTGACAAAGGGATAAATATGCCAATATCTATATAAATTGAAAGACTTGTGGTGTTAAATTTTCTTAATTTCATGCAAACCTTTTAAACTAATGAATAATTTTCTAGTAAAATCACATGTTTTTAATTTATTTTTAAAATGTTAAGCAAAAGGAAGCAGAAAGTAACTTTTGGCCAACTCTATCTACATATACATGCATACTCTTTCTCTTGTAATATATTCATTGAATAAATTATCTTTAAATATTTTAAATGATTTAGTATTTCGATTTTTAAATATTTACCACTGAGCAGATAAAAAACTTACCTTTTGTAATTGTAATTATTTTCTTTACAGTTCTTTTTTTTTTCCTGTGGTGCTTGCTTGTGTATTTTATATTGAATTAAAAAAAATACTTGTAATAAAACTATTTAGGAAGGAAACTCCCATCAATACTGGAAAGAGCAATAACAGCTACTGGACTTGAGAAACCTATTTTCCTGAAAAATTGTTTTAAGAAATTTTATAAATTTCACCCCAAAACAGTACTGGCTGCTCACAAATGCCAAATGTTTCCTTGTAAGGAAACAGCTAATATTACCATTATATTTTTTTTCTCAGAAAAATAAATTTTATTCATTAGATTTCTTTTATACTGCTATGAAACTGAAAAATGGCAGTCATTGTACCAATGACATTAACTTTTGGAATTTGAGTTCCAAACTCTGATGTCTACTTATAATATCAGTCATACAGGTTATCTATTATGTGCAAATAGAAATCCACACTTAAAGAATGTTAGTTATCTACAAAAAAAATCTTGGGATAATGGAGGTTAAACAATTCATGAGAAGCAATCTAGTGATCTTTTTTTTTTTTTTTTTTTTTTTGACAAGTTAATATTGATTATTAAAAGTAACAGTGTGATTAAGGGATGACTCATACTTCTTCTATGTGCCATGTCCTTTCAGCACATAGACAATCATGGCTCTCCACAACTTCTTATCCCTCGTAGCTCAAATTCTCCATGCCCTACTTCCTCATTATATGTCCAAGAAATTTCAGCTGCCTAGTTCTGATTCTGAGTGTTCTTTTCATTTTCATTTTCCTTAAGACATTTTTGTTGCTTATGTGTTCTGTCCATGGTATTCTCAGCATCCTTCTGTAGAACCATATTTCTGTTGCCTTCAGTTTTCTCTTCATCTGTAAGATTTTCCAGCATTCACTGCTATATAGGAGGATTGATATTATATAACAGTTTAGCACTCTTTTCTTTTTTTGAAATGTTGGTGAATAACTCAGCAGTTTGGAATCAAATTAACTGAGAATTTTGAGGTTATGACCTTGGCTCCCACTTAATGAGATTATTTTCTTATTCACCAGAAAAGATAAAAGCTTTCATTTCAAATCCAAGAAATAATCTGTATTTTGCCATTCTTTTAAAATCCAAAATCTTTCAATGGCATTAACAACTATTGCTTTTATTATATTCTCTTTGTTTTTGTGGATAGTAGCCTGATTTACATTTTAAGCTGAGGTGAATTTAACTATTATACATACAAATTGAATTTAAACTGGTATTAGAAAAAATATCTTTTCTCCTCTTGTTAGTATTTCCAGTTAGTATTTCCTTCATTTTCATTTCCGTTGCTTATTATTGCAACTTCTCAGACTGACATTTTGACATTTTTTTAAATAAGCAACAAGCCTTCTGTAAGATTCAAACTCATAAACCTTTCTTGGAAGGTAGTTTTAGCACAGCAGCTGCCTTATTGATTAGGCCATGAAGATAACCTGCTACAGAAACTCAAATCTAACCATATAGCTTTCATTCTTTATTTTCCCTGAATGCCTGACTCACTATCATCTTTTAATGTTTGCATACACTAGTCATTTTATCAAGTTATTATTAGGTGAAGCCACATCACTTATACATAAAACAAAGGAATTACTTATCAAAGATTTATTAATAACTTGTATATTCAAGCTCTTTACCTTTCGTTGCTATTGCTAAACTCAGAAGAGCATCTCATAACACCTCCATGGTCTAACATTTTCTGCTGACATAAAGTAGAATGATTATATTGAATCAATTGCTAGGTCTGCTGTTAGGAAAGTTGGTTCACTGTATTGGGCTAGATAATTTTTCCCATCAGGATACATCTACCATTCATCCATACATTAAATATTGCTGCAATATCTGGTCTGGTGCTCATGCTATATATCTTGAGATTATTGACAAAATCCAAAGAAGGATTTGCCATGTTATCAGACATGACCTAACATCTTGACTTCAGTCCATTCCACCATGATGTGGCTTCACTCTGCCTTTTCTATAAATATCTTCATGGCAATTGTTCTGATGAGTTTTTCTCCTTGGTACCTTGACTGCATGAATTTAAGTGTACAACTAGATTGTTTTACTGTTAAAATAGCTAGATGTAACCATAAGTTCTATTCTAAGTTTCTTTTCCCACACTTCTTTGCCTTCTTGCTTCCCTGATACCTACAATCTTCAAAAATTTAAATACAGCATCAATCACTATCTTATATCTCCCTGAATCCTTTTTCCTTATTGTCCTTTCCCCTCACTAAAACATCTATTTTTTTTCACTCTAAATAACCCCTTACATTGTGGCATAATGACATTATCATCTTGCCTGGGGGTGTAATGATTAAAAAAAGTATGAAGACAGGCATCTGAAGAAGACCAGAGAATATTATGAGAATAATAAACAAGATGAGTTAGTCTTATTATGTTAAGTATTACATTTACTGTGGTAAAAGCCATCCAGTTATACAAGTTGTGACAAATATATTCAAGTCTTGTCCGCGCTTTCTTTTTTTGTGAGTGGCAGGGATTATTGTCACTGAATGTTATAGTGAATTTTTTCATTTTTGTATAATCATGACTAAATCGTGTATAGTAAGCTAATGTTTTAGTCAAAAGAATGAGTTTTGAAGAAGCTTTATACATACTATAATTCTGTTAATAGATACAAACATATTAATTTTCTGCCATCTGTCTTGCTTATGTAACATTTTTAATGGCATATACAATTCCTATATTTCAGTATAATATTAATATAGTAAGAATATTCAGAAAAATGTTGGTGTATACCTCAATTTTACATATAAAACTCAGGAAATATTTTTTGAGCTGGTTTGTTTTTTTTTTTTGGTTTTTTTGGTGGGGAGCATGTCTTATATACCACCAATTAATATTTGTTCCTGTATTAATTAACATAACATCCTTATGGCTTTTTTGCCCCATTACATAATGTTTCTAATATTGCAGTTCATATCATTATGCTTTTGATTATATGATAATTTACATTATATTTAATATTAATATTCCTATTTGGATCATTGTACTTGTTCATAGATAGATTACAGTTGATATAGATAGAGAAATGAAGTAGATTTTTTATACAGAAATTACATATCTAAATAATTAAATAATTACCTTTTATTTAATAGGTAAAACTAAAAATATAATATCGGTTGTTAAATTAGATTAGTACACAGCAATTAGAACCAATGATTAATTGCTTGTGGCAGCACCAGAATTTTCAAAGTGCTTGGAGACAAGATTGAAAAAAAAATCTCATTTTATATTTATTTATAATATAAGTTATGATTAAAAACATTATGTAACCTTCAGTAACTTACTGCTCTATGGTCATCATGTTGAAACACTAGTTCTCGTATGATCACTGAAGTTAAGCAATGTCAAGCCTGGTCAGTAGCTAGATGGGTGACTGCTTAGGAATACCAGCTGTTGCAAGCTTGGATGTGAGGGTTGTGTTATGGATAATCGTTCTAAATAGTAGATCAAAGAGCCAAGTTACAATTTCATTTGGGTTTGTTATATTCACTTATGCACAAATATCCTTGAATCCACCTCTTCTCCCCCCCAGCTATAAGATAATTCAGAGTACTTTTATCAGTAAATTATCATTATCTCATTATCGCCAAAACATTCTTACAATCTAAAAATATTTTTTGGCTTTAAATAACCTGCTATGGGTTGATATGCTGTAAAAAAAAAAAAATCTAGATCAAGGCTTCAGACTAACCTTTTTCACCACCATTCTGGAGCAACTTTAATCATTCCTCACAAAATGTTAAACCATCCCAAAAGCAAATGTTGTTTGTATAACTTTATCATTTCTAATAGTATAGTAAAAAACACCATTAAAATGTTTAGGAAATAATATTTATTTTGATCCATTCAATCTTCCATTTCCTGCAGCCACTATTCTGCAACTTGGTTACTTATTTCTCTGGATCATATTGCTGATCAAGAGAGACATGAATGGAGATTTGCAGGAGACAGTTAAGCATTTCAGTTTAATTTGTGATAAGCAGAAAACAAAATGGATAAATGTTGTTTGTTAAGAGTTCATTCAAAATTTTTTTACCAAAAATTGACAGAAAAAAATATAATTTTCTTGTCTATTTATTAAAGCAAAATTAATTCATACAATTAGTGTTGTGACCAAGTAAATGGTTAAGAAATAACAAAAGCCAGAGTTGCAGATATATAGTATATTAAACAGTAAGTACAGTAGAAGAGTATTACACAACTAGTGAGTGTGTGTCATATGACCAGCATTCAATCTATTCCACTGTTCCCCCAAGGCCTTCTCTCCTATTAATCTTATAGTAGGTGGAGGAGTCCAACACAGACTCTTTAGAGGGAGGACACCACAACAATTAGATACTAATGTTTTTCACATTTAGAGATAAATAATACAAATATATAAATTTAAGTCATTCAACCTTCATTTGTCATTTGGGTTTCATTCACTAGTTTAAAAATAAGTGCTTAAGATGTAGGTGTGTGTGTGTGTGTGTGTGTCATTTCTTACCTCCCCACCCACTATTGGTGAGGAGTAAGAATTTTTAAGATTTATTTTAAGAAATGACTTACTTTTTGAATAAATATAATCTTAAAATTTTGTATTGTCCTAGCATCTAAAAAAAATAACCATTTGTTCAAAACTAATGTCCTATAATTCTTGGGACAATGAGACAATCTTAATTTCAAGTCTTACTCTAGATATTGTGATTCAGATTAATGTGAAAGATTAAATGAAAGCAAACAATTTGAAAGATGTCTGTCCACATTGAAATGACCTGGAGTGAACAAAAAAAAAAAAAAGAATACAGATGGTTTTCAGTTGGTCTTTTGGGATTGTGGTTCTAATTTGCCAGCTGTTTCCATGAATGGAATGATAGTTGGATGGTAATGTCAGAAAAGATCCCAGTCACCTCCTTCCTTCCTTCCTTCCTTCCTGCACTCATGGTTATGTAACGTTAATTGTATCTGAATATATGAATTTGTATGAATGAGAGATGATCTGAAATATTTTCTCTTATTTTTAATTAGGGGATAGTGGACACAAGCCTGAAGTGGTCAAACAACTACTAGAGGAAGTTCTGGATTCAGAATTCAATTTCAAAGGTGATTTTGCCTACTCACAGACGTAAGTAACATCAATTTTAATTAAACTATCACCATTTCAAATCAACATTTTTATCATTCCTCACATGATAATACATCACCAGCCTAGCCAAAAGAAAGTCGTATTAAAGAAAATGTTCATCTTGTCATGGATTGGACCTGTTTTCCTTTTATCCTGAGAACAGGTACTATTATTGCATGTAATCTTTTACATAATTTTCATTAATACACAAATCTCTTAGTGAATTAAAAACTGCAGGATGTTCTTCCAAGTCAGATATTTTTTCATAATCAACAAAATCTAAACAAAGTGGTTTATGTTTTCAATGAGTTGGTCTATTGCTGAGTAGCCACTCCTAAAACCTACCTGGCTTATGGTCATCACATTGAAACATTGGTTCCTGTAAGATCACTGAAGTTAAGCAATGTCAAGCCTGGTCAGTACCTAGATGGGTGACCGCTTGGGAATACCAGATGTAAGATTGAATATGTGCACGGTGTAATGGATAATGGTTTTGGAATAACCTGCAATGGGTTGATGAGCTGTAGAAAATGAATCAATCAAAACATAAAACCTACTTATTCACTTGGTTGATTTTCTTTTTTGATAGTCTATTGTAAATGCTTTTGAAATTAGTTTGTGTATTTTCAATAGTAATTTGATAGAGCAATAATTGGCCAGGTGTTATTTGCTTTTTTTTTATAAAATAGAATTACACTTTCTAGACTAAAGTTTTGAAGTATATTTCTTTTTGAATGAATTGTGTGTGTGTGTGTGTGTAAATATGAATGAGGTTTGAAAAATATATATATATATATATATATATACACACACTTGATTCCATTTGTCTAGAAAATCAATGAAATGCACTATGTTGTCTCTACTGTTGAGTCTTGGCATGATTCCATTTTTTGAAGTAAGGTAAATAAATAAACTTGGCAATATAATTATCCTCTATTTTATTCTTGATTAAAGATACCTTTTAAAATTCACTTAATTGGCCATTATTCAGTAGTAATAATGAAGTTTTGAACACTTTCCAATTCTAGGAATTCTCCTGAATATGACATGTATGGCTTTGCCCGACATGCTCCTTCCAAAGATGGAGACCTTCTATCAGTGCGAGCCAGTGAAATGCAGAGGAAATCTGAAGAACTGAATACTAACATCAAGGTTAGTTTCCAAGACTTCTGTATTTATAAATGTATACTTATAAATTTATTAGTAATTTTTTATTAGTATTTCTTTTGTCTTAATTTCAGCTTTTATTGTAACTTTTCAGACCCTCATTCTACTGCCATAAGTAAACAGTGCAGATTGGAAATAAAGTATAGGCTTCCACTGAGACTAATGCCCATTGAATAATTGTCTAAGAAATTGGGATAAAAAGCAACTGAAATTAAGATGAAAATTAATCATAATTTACAATGCTTCATCTCATTATTTAAACATATCTTATTTATCAGATAAATATTAATATATCTCCCCAAAAATTGTTTAACCCAATATTTATTTTTATTTTCTTCAATAAATTAAATATATAGTAATTTTTGTTGGTATCAGTTTTCTGTTTATATTATAAATCCTATGTATATGTATTGGTTACACATTTTTATATAATAGAAAAATGAAAAAGTTAGGATGTTGTTTATTTAAAAAACTAAGAAATCTAGTGTGAAAAAATTTACTTTTAATCAGCCACCAGGATTGATGGCAGATATAGATGCTGCTATTACAAGTAATTTATTACACAATACTTTTGAAAATTAAAATCAGAGAAACTATGCTAAATTAATTTTTTTTAGTTTCCTTCTATAATACTGTTATTAATATTCTGAATTTTTAACATAATTTATATGGTATAGTTACTAGCATATATATATATATATATATATATATATATATATATATATATATATATAATTATTTTGCTAATTCCCATATGTTCATTTCCTTTACTATCATGTGATCTACTTATTCAAAATGGGATTGCCTGTCTTTGCTCTCTGGTGATCTGTGTTCAAACCCAAGTGTTGGCAGTGACACTCCATTCCTATATAACAGTTATATTTTGTATGACTTAGAGTAATATTTGGTGTCTCCTCCTTTATTGCTATCAGTTATAATTGTTATTTCCACTTCCCACTTCAGGATTGTCTGTTTATTGTATTTCTCTAAATTTTAGGAGATTGATGAAAAGATTACACACCAGCATAAATGGGATAATTTCATGACAGGATTAGACAAGAAAGAATTGCAAAGATCCTCAGAATTGAAAGCATTAATTCGGTCAGGTGTTCCCAATGAACACAAGGAGCGCATATGGAGTGGGTAAGTGATAGTTTTTCTGAATATTGATAATTGTTGCTCACTTTTTTCTTTTTAAGGTAGAAATATTTAACATATAATGGCTACCTCTTAAAAGGAGCCAATATACAAAAAACAGTTTGAAAAGTCTTGTTAGTATATTTGCATACAATTTTACAAAGTTAGATATTTGTTTTTAAACAGGAGTGCTTGTCTTATGCTGAATTTTTTTAAATTGTAGATGGCAAAACTAAAGTGAAAACATTTTAAATATTTTGTTTTTATTTCTCTTTTATTTCAATTTTTTTAATATATGTATAATCATTTCATCACAAGCAAGGAAATAAAGCCACTAAGTCACAAGGGGTTACTGAAAGTGGAAAAAACTGAGAAGATTATTGAAGAGAAAAGACCAGGAGACAAATGATGATGATTGATATTGCATTTAAGTTTTTGAAGATCATAGTTGATAGGAAAGCAAGAAGCTGGAAGAGAGTTCCACAGGCAAGAAATGCAAGAGAAATAACTATCAAAATAGAACTTATGGTTGCATCTAATAATTTCAACAGTAAAATGATGAAACCTACCTACCAATTTACTAATAGGCTTAAATTCATGAAGTCAAGTTACTAAACAGGAAGGCTCATAAGATCAATTACCATGAAAATATTTATAGAAAAGGCACAGGGAAGCTACATTACAGTGATGAGAAAGTGATTGAAGCAGAGATGTCAGGACCAATGACATTGCAGATTCTTCTTTGGATTTTGTCAAAAATCCCTAGATACATAGCAGAAGCACCAGATGTGGCAGCAATATTCAGTGCATGGATGAATGGTAAACTTATAAAGGTGCAAGATAGATTCTGGTGAGAAAGATTGTCTCACAGGGCACAGTGAACCAACTTTCCTAGCAGCAGACTTAGCAATTGATTCAATATAATCATTCCGCTTCATGTCAGTGGAAAGCATTAAACTGAGAAGGTAACAAGTGTTTTTAAATGATTTTTAATCTTGCTTAATTTTTACTAAATAGATTAAATGGTTATTTGAGACTTTACTGAATTTTCACTTTTAATTTAAAAATAAATGTCAAGATTGTTAAAAAAATGACTTTCATCCACTTTTATTGTATAAAATTTTTCTCAATTATGCAGTTTCTTTCTTTTTTTTTTTCTAATAGATGTGTCAACTTTTATGTTGGTCATCGAAGGAAGCAGTTAGAACCTGATCACTATCAAAATTTGGTTGCACAAGTCATGAACCAAAAACCCAATCCTGAAGCTAAGCAGGTATCCTTTTATTATTATTTATTCAGAAATTAACATTAGAATGATTGCTATCAAGTTTTATTTTAAATTTACTAAGTAAATGCTATCATTCATGTCTCTTTGTTGAGGGCAAGTTTTTCTATGATCAGTAAATACTTGTTGAAAATGTTAAATAGAACAATGAAAAAAAAGGGAGACCATCTTTCATATACCAGCTATATACTCCAAATATCTCAACTTCTGTAATAATACCTTGAATCACTTTCCTCAGTTATAATTTTATAACTATTCTAGGTAATTCAGTATAAAGATGTTGGCCAGTTTAAATTCTAAAATTTAAAATACTCTCAGGAGTAAGATATCTGTTTTAAAAATCCATGTAGCATATGTAAAGTTCTGTATACATTTTTAAAAAATATTATGGTTACATTTTTCAGTTCAATCTGACTGTATTGTATTGTCAATTCCATTATACATTCAGTTGTTTTTAGTTGCATGGTGTTTCAGTTGTTTTTAGTTGCATGGTGTTTCAGTTGTTTTTAGTTGCATGGTGTTTCAGTTGTTTTTAGTTGCATGGTGTTTCAGTTGTTTTTAGTTGCATGGTGTTTCTGCTATTATTTATCATATTGGCTGGGAAGCTAAAGTTGGAAACTCTGAAAATGGAAGATATGGAAAATGCCACTTTTTGATTCATAGTTCTGTTTATTTTGGAGAATGTTTTGTCTTTAAATATATTGTCATTCTATCCCATCACCTCTCTTAGTCTTTATCTTTATTTACCACTATTTCTGGCTTCTTTCTCTTTTTAATATTGAGAGAAAACTAAAATAAGAAAATTGTTTTTAGTTGCATGGTGTTTCTATTTATGTGAGTATATGTGTATACTTATATATATTGACAATATTTAGCAAGTTTTACATAATTTTAGTAACAATTCTTAAATATGTTCTTGACTTTTAATAGTCATAAGTCTTTTTTGTTTTTTCATAGCATGTCTGACAATCTGAAAAATATAAAAATTAGTAATTCCCTATGGACTTCATCCAATTTTTATTTGCATATATTAAGAAATAGTTTTGAAAATAAATGTATTTATTTTTATATGTACTACAATTTTTTGTCAACACATTTATTTTAGTATTGTTGAAGTTATCACTAACATTTTTTGTCGAGATGTTTGAATTCTATGTTTCATTCAATTTTGCAAACCAATTGATGAAATTTGAATAAGCTGATTTGTTTAGAAACTTCTTGGTTTTTATGCACCCTAGTACAACCAACTGTACTTTGTAACTCCCTACCTATTTGCAATTTGGTTTTGATTGGTCAATATGGCTATTTTAATAGATGGATTGACTAACAGAAACCACAGAATTTCATATAGAGACTTTAGCAGAAGCAAGCTATCTTCTATTTTGTAACTAAATTTCAAAATATTGCAGAAATATCTGGAAAGTATAGAAAATATTTTAATACTTGTAAAACTTTATATATTCTTTAATAAATTAGTAGCATGATATGGTATATGAACTAACAGGGGAAAAAAAAAGAAGAGATCTACTTGGAGCGGAATAAATTTCAAATCAATCAGATGTCTGTGGCTTCAACATGAAAAATATCAAGTCTCTAGCAGCAACATCAGATAAGAATCTTTATTATCTCTTCTCTATATTCCAAGACCCTCTCATTCCAGCCTGAGGATTCTTACTATAAAGGACTAAATGTTTAGTTGGATAGCTTTTCCATTTTGTTTTATTATCTCCACCATTCTTTGATAAAGTTATCATTTTTTTTTTTGTTAAAACTTTTCTTTTCAGATTGAGTTGGATCTACTACGGACATTACCAAACAACAAATATTATATGTCTTTGGAGAGTGAGAAAATACAGAAGTTAAGAAGAGTTCTTTTAGCCTTCAGCTGGCAGTGTAGCTCTGTAGGTTATTGTCAGGTAAGAGACATTCTGTTTCACTTGTCACAAATGGAATTGATTGACATATGTCATATGTTGTTCCTGCACTGGCCTTAGAACTTCAAGGCATATGTGCACATAATTTCGAAATGTAACAGCTGCCAATTCTGGCTCTACTTGCTCCAATATTGAATTATTTCTCCTTCAATGAATAACTGAAGATATTTGATGATGATTGAAAAACTCACCAATTAAACGCCAATATATGAATAAAATAAAATCTTTGATCCTCACTGAATAATCCTAAAATGTACCCAGGTTAATTTTTTTCCAACAAATATAACCATAATATTAGAGTCTTTAAAAATCATTTGTGTTTATAATGGCAAGTTAAGATTGTAGCCTTTTTTTTTTTTTTAATTTTTAAAAAAAAATTTGGTAAAGTTTAACCTTCATGCCTGCAAAAAAAAAGTGTGTCAAAAGTTTTTCCCTTGACAAATGTTTATTGTTTTAAAAAGCAATGAACAGAATTTTAATAAAACCCAAAGATATGAAAGGGAATTTATACAATAATTTACAACAAAAATATTAAACACTATTTATTTAGTAGATTGTTTATTTACAAGAATAATTTTATATTTATGACATTATAAAAATATGTGAACGAACTATAATGAAATCTTTATTTACTATTTTATAAAGTTCAAATTGATTGGCATTTAGCCAATGTTTTGCCAATCATACCAAAGAACACAATCTGTGATATAAAATAGTTTGAGAAAATGTATAATGTCCAAAAAAATCATAGGTTTATTTAAATTTTGTTCATAGGCATTTTTATAAAATTATGAATAATAAATTTATTTTCATATTTATATATAAAATGATAAATAATAATTTTTGCTTTGTAGTTGGTTCACATATAATAGTTTTGTAGATTTTTATGACTATTTGAATAAAAACATTTATTTTTAAGTTTATTTCTTTATAAAGTAATAAATATTACATGGTACTTGGTTCACATATTTTTATAATATTGTAAATAAACAATGCTTTTGAAACACTTTTTTTGTTTTTGTTTTTTTTTTTGCAGGCATGCAGGTTAAACTTTTCCAAAAAATTTTTAATCATTTCACCCCTAGTAAGGCAATAAAGCCACTAAGACACACAGGATTACTGATAGTAAAAGAAACTGAAAATGTTAAGGAGAAAGGACTTACAGGATTCAAAAAGATACATGACAATTGAAGTTGCCTCTAAATTTTTGATGATCATAGTTGACTAGAAAATCTATTTCCATTGAATGACCTAATTTTAATTCTTTCTCTTTCATAATATATTAAAATGGATTAAGTCCTACAACATTTGTTAAATAGAAAAAAATCTTGTGTTTTCTTAAATGTAACTATCAATGACAAAAACTTGAAACAGTAAACTTAGGAAACAATGCAAGGAGTTGCTTCTCTGAAAGGAAAATACAATTATTAGGTTTTTGTCAATTTTTCTTGATGAGAGAACAACCATAAATTTTATTTTGATTTCTTATGTAATGGAGATTTGTTTTTATAATGTAGCATGAGTTGTCTTTCATTTGATTTTGAAATTACTTATGGTTTACTTGCAATAAAGAACAAGCATATTTTTAAATCCTGTATTATTAATTTTCTATAAAGAGATAATTAGGTCAGTATTTTTAAATGCTTGCCTTTATTTTACTTATACTGAAATTAACAGATTACTGCACAGACATATAGTTACTTGCTCTATCATATTAAAAGTTGGTAGCAACACAAATAACCTTCAATCCATATACATAAAAGGTAGTGTACATTAAATAAGATGGAGGTGATAAGATCCATACTAAAGCCACATACATAATTGTGTGGCTAGAACATTAGCATTCTAACATGAGACCCAGCTTCAAATATTACTATGGTTTATTTGTCAAGAAGGTGACTACTATCATCATATAGTGTCATTGGAAAGTGCCTAAAAACCATACCAGGAGTTGACCCAAGCTTTGTGTGTGGAATTAGTCAGACAAAATTGTTTAGAAGTTGTTGATGGTTGTGCTAGCACATGTCTAAGGGTTTGAATGTTCTGGCCGTATTCAAGCTCATTTTTATGCAGGATAATGCTCCCTGTCACAAATCAAAATTGATGAAGGAATACTTTGATGAGAAGTAGGTGAGTGTTATGACATGGCTACCCCAATCTCCTGACCCCAACCCCAAGAAGAAAACTTATGGAGCATTATAAAGTACAGTGATTGTGAATTTCATATCCGAATGTAATTCAATGCTTGGAGATGAGATTTGCCAGAACCTAATCAAGTCAATGCCAAAAAGGGTTGAAAAGGTCATTCAAAATAAAGGAGGACCCATAGATTATTAGATATTTCGAACTATATTACCTATTATAAATAAATTATACCTCTATTATTCTTTATTTAAAGCTGTTCGGTTATGTTTCTATTGATTACTAGTTGCAGGAAATAAGTGAGTCACTTTTTTGCACAGATTTTTCCCTAAATCTCATTTATATCCAAATTTATAATTACCAATAGAATACCTTAGGGTGAGTAAACTTTTTTACTAGGTGGTCGGGAAGGGGTCTTTATATTAGTAAGATTAAAAATTAGTTTAACCCCAAAAACAATAGGCAAAAATGTTTTAAGTAAAAAAAAAAAAAAAATCAGGTGAGTCACTTTTATTGAACATCACTGTACATACATACATACATACACACATATATATATATACACACACACACACACACACACACACACACACATATATATATATATATATATATATATATATATATATAAGTCAAGTGCAAAACTTGCTCAGTCCTCCTAACTTTTGTCATGCATACATCAGAATACTCCAATCCTCCTCCTTCAGTGTATTAGGGAAATGCTGCTGCAGTGTTGGGATCACCAGGATTAGGTTTCTCTCATTGCTTTACCATAAACTACCCAAAGACAGAAATATTGTACAAGTGTCACTCATTATAGTGCAGAAACACAGCAGAAATGGTGGGACAGATAATATCCTTTGACCTATGCATAGATATTGTCATCTGACATGTATATATTTAATTCAGAAAGTAGAAGTGTCATTCTCTTTAAGATTTTTTTCATGCTTGTGTGGGTTTCTTTCGGTATGTATTTTCCTCATCTCCAAAAGTAATTTTAAAAAATGAAAAATCATGAAGTTAAAAATACTTCAATACTTCTAAAATTTTTATTTTTGTGAGTTGATATTTTTAAATGGTTTCCTCAAATTCTTTTCTAATTTAATAGGATTATTAATTTTTAACAAGTTCTCTTTTGACTTTGCTCTCATGTCTTTTATCACAACTCTCTCTATGCATCAGTAAAGTAAGCAACATGGATTAGAAATAAAGATTTTAATTTGCATCTCTTATCCTTGTGAGCCTGTCTGATTGTGACAGTGCTATTACTGATTTGTCCATGAAGACTTTCGTCAGAAGGTATTAGTCAGATAATCCATGTATCTATCATTTTTACTATTCCAATCACTACTGAACTGCCTTGTTGTTAGGTTTTATACTTTATTTATATATTTTTTATTTATATATTTTTTTGAAACACTGATTCTCATCGATCACCAAAGTTAAGCAATGTCAAACCTGGTCAGTACCTAGATGGGTGAGCACTTGGGAATGCCAAGTAAGCTTAGATATGTGGCTTGTGTAATGGCTCAGAATTGAAATTTGGGGAGCAAAGTTCCATTTACAGTTGGGTTCATTATTTTCACAAGGGAAAGGCATGAAACTACTTCTGTTTTAAGCTATGAGTTAATTAGGATTTATAGTAGTAAATCATTATTATTTCCAAAACATTCTTACAATTTAAAAATAACTTCTAGTTTTAAATAACCTGCAAAAAACAAAACAAATAAATAAATTTATATATTTTTTATCATATTTTTAATATTCTTTATTATTCCATTCACTTATACACTGCTATGCTGTTAGTTTTTATTTACACTAGTAGATATAATAGTCAAGAAATTTATCACTAAAATTTTTTTTACTCAAAAATTAATAAAAATTTCAATGACTTTATTTCATCTAAGAAATTCATAGACTAATTTTCTTAAGAAACCCACCACAATTAATTTTATTTTAGAGATGGTTTTGTTTGTAGAATTAGGGAATACTTAATGTATTTTATAAAAATCTAAAACATGTGCACTGTAACAATTTTTTTATGGATAATTCAACTAAATATAAAATTATAAAACCTGGGAAAATATCCTAGTTAATGTTGTACCAATTATATCAATATAATGATAACCTTCCCTGCCAGTACCAAATCTGTGACTATATAACTTATTACCTGATACCTTTGATATAATGATATAATATTCTTGGTCACCTCACAAATCTCATTTGTGCTGAATCAAGTCTCAGCTTTATTTTCATATATTGTGTTATGAGTCCATTGTTTGTAAAGGAATGGTAAATGGAGAAACCCAGTACAGGAAGAACTTCAGCAGAACTGTATTTATTCAGCAGATGTTCTCTTGTCTTGCTCTAGGGCCAATACTCTTCACCAACTTCTTAGAGGTTGAAGCATGTCTTTTGAATGGGTACTGAACCTTATAGGAAGCAGTGTGTTTCACTGCTTCTAACAATTCTATCATGTGGACAATAAATGTTGTTTTACCCACAGGAGACACTCCAACCAATTTCACTGCAATGAATAGAGCCATCCTCTCTCTCTCTCTCTCTCTCTCTTAACAATGCCATTAGCTCATTTTTATTAGGAATTGTTTATGAATATTAATAATCTCTATGTCATTTAGATGTTAGATTGCATGCATTTATTAATAATCATTCAACATGGAAAAAAATCAATCAAATTACCTACCATTTTGCTAATAGATTCTGATAACATCTTTCTAATCATTCACATTGCCATACCAAAAGACTTACCATAATGTCTGCTAACCTTCAAGGTTATAGCCAAAAATTGAATTTATGTGAAGCAAATAAATCTTGCTTCTCATTTGAAACTTCAGAATTATACTATTTCTTAGGATTTGTGTGATTTAGATCATCATAAGAACAGTAACTGCCATTGATAGTCATACAGAAAGAATATGTGACTTACCTCTGAAAAGATATTGGGAAACTTTGATCATTAGTGGTGACTTGAATTTTATTACAGATTATTACATTATATTAGCCGAGATATTCATTATTGCAGGGGAAAAAGACTTTAAAATATAACAGGAAAAATATGTTCTTCAATATAAGGCTTGGAAAACATGGAGAAGTTAGATTGATATTAGCAATCTTGAGTGATTGTCCTTGTATCTTGTTGATAGTCATAGCAAATCTGAGCTTCAATGGGAATTGAAATCATTCAAATTTAAAGGGCAAGTCTACTGGAATTATAGGGATCATGAAAATGAAAACCCTCTGCTATTTCCATATCCTAATTAGAACAGGTACCTAAAGATGTGGAAGTAGCTGCATGACAGTTAAGTACGTTCTTTGCACAATTTTAGAGTTTCTTAGAAGTATAATGAGCATCCTAACTTCTTAGTTGAATTCTGTGAAGAGGAACACCAGGTGGCTCAAAACAATTTAAGAACATAATAAAGTTCTGAACCAGGCCATTTTTTTTACATTTAAACTGCTAAAAAAATCAAGTTTAATCCAGAAAATTTAAGAATTTTTATCTGAAAACATTTTTACCAGAATTGTATAATATTTAGAGTCAAAACAATCAAGTATTTTTTAATTTTTTTGCCTTTTAAGTTTTATCATTTGACCCCAAAAAAAGCTATGATGACCTTCACTGTGGAGGTCAGAAATAACTATCCTCTAATCTTTTTCTGTCCATTGTAGCTTGATGAAAATCCACTGATCTCAAAAGTTGAATTTTACCTTATCTGCCTTACCATTTGTGAAGACAAGAATTATTTTTATATGGCATAGCAATCTTAACCACCCTCTTCCTCCAGTTTGATACAATTGGAATGCTGTGTTCTTTGATGAGCTCAGCCTCAGCTGTATCCCAAATGGATGTCTTGTGCATCTTAATCCCAAAAATTAGGTCAATGATTCTTATCATTTGAACATCAAACTGCAGAATTTCAAGAGATTATTTTAGTAATTAAGTTTATCATTTTTTTCTTTCATTGTTTTACTCTTTTAGGGATTGAACCGTCTTGCTGCAGTTGCTTTATTGTTTCTTAATGAAGAGGATGCTTTTTGGTGTCTAGTTGCAATTGTCGAGTATCTGCTACCTCAAGATTATTACAGTTCAGCTATGGTGGCTGCACAAACTGACCAAGTAAGGCAACATTTTTTTTCCTTTACTTTGATTTATAAAGTGTTTATACATTTTATATTTAACCTTCTAAATTCTAGAACTCCAGATGACCTAGTAGTCAATACTCTCTTTTTTTACTTGTGTTTTTTTATGAGATTCAAAGTAAAGTGACTTTGGTGTGTCATTGCATTGACAATTTATCATTGTATAATAAAGCTATAAATGAAATCTAAATGGCTTGCCTGATGAGTATATATCATTTACATTGGCTTGATTTCATGTCACGGAAAAATAGAGCACTTTGTAACTAATTCTGTTTTTGATCATGGATTATGGGATCATTTTGTTTGGATTTTGTAAAATTAGTCACAAACATGTATTTCATGAGGGGGTGATGAAAAGAAGGAATTTCAGAATAAATTTTGATCTTTGGTCATTTGTGGAGAATTTGGGTGGGCTGCAAACTTTTCAACACTCCTGATAGAAATTTTTAGAATATTTTTTTTTTTCCAGATTTAATTTCATTTCTGTTTTGAAATATTGACTTTTTGGCTCAGCCTCTGTACAAATTGTGTCAAAAATCATGTTCAGCATAAAATAATTTTTACTAGTCACAATAACCACATTGACAATTTCTTGAGAAGTGGTAGGTAACTGTGACCTGTAGGCCACATCTAGACCACAGCATGTTTGAGTGCGGCCTGCAAAAGCATTTCAAAGAAAAACGTTTTTGTGTATTATCATAATTTTTGCGTAATCTGTTTTTGTTTTTTTTTTAATTTTAGTTAATGTCCAATGAAAATAATTGACAAATCTATGATAATTCATTTTATTGAATGTTCAAAAAAATTACCAAACTTGTAGACAATAAGATTATATGGTCATTTTGTATGAACTGACAAATCACTGCAGTTCCCCAAGTCCTATTGAAAAATTGTGGAATTGCAGAGCATGACAGATTATAATAAAATCTGGCCATGTTGTTTGGTTTTGCAATAAACAGTGTCTGAAAATTTTTTCTAACCATGTAAACCGAAATTGTAAAATTACCTTAAGTGAATATTAGAATTTTGGATACTATTAAATTTCAATGCTAAAAAGAGTGTGTCTTGTATGTTCATTATTCAACTATTTTTTTATACATGTTACTCACCATAAACCTATCAAACAACACATGGACCTCCAAAAACAAAAAGAAATTTGCCCACCCCTATTCTAGAGAAAACATTGCCTAAATTTGCTAGATAACATCATAAAACAGATTTAACTTAAATGGGTTTTCTATTTTTATGCTATCACAGTCAAAATACACAGTATCAAGATCATGATAGGTATGGTATGATGGAATCTTTTTACTTTCTTTAATCTTTTTTTCATCTTCTTTGAACCTTTTTGCATTCCTCAATACATTTGGTGGTTTTTAAAATTGTTTTTTATAAATTCAAAACTTCACATTAAATACTCACCAGTTCCATGAATACAGTTCAGTTGTTTTGCCAGACTTTCAGACATTTAATATTGATTCTTGCAAATTTGTGTATTGATCACATCCTTGTCAAGGCTGGTTGGTTCTAGAGTATCAAGCTCAAATTCTTAGTTTTGAGCAAAACAGATTTTCATGCAATATCTGTAATATTTGTGTCTTGAAGCATATCACAAATGTTTCTAATTGTAAAAAACAAATTCTGGCACTATTTTCAAGAGCTTAAAAAATTATATAGATTATAGAAACCATCAACTGATTATTAAAACATTACAGATCTAACCAGCAACAAAAACAATATGATAGTGACTATTATAGAAGAGAAGACTATAGCTAATTTAAATGACATTCTATGCTGTCATAGATAATGAATGTGATTTCAAGTCTTGCCACACATTTATCCTCTATTCACAACCCATTCTAATTACTTAATAGTCAAAGAATAATTATATAATTGATTTGAGAGTTGTGACAAAATAAAAGAAATACACCTAAAAATATAAGAGAGAGAGAGAGAGGTTGCTGAATAGTTCTTGGTCTAACCTATTTTCACATAATCTGATCAAATGACCAAACAGAATTTTGTGAGGAAAACTTCTTGGATGGACTGAAAACTTTTCAGCACCCGTCATCTCTCTCTCTATATATATATATATATCTTATTGCTTTAAATATTATATTTTAGTGGATACATGTGTTTGAATAGAGACATTGTGTTTTCCTTTTCTTTTAAACAGTGTAAATTTACATCTACTAGCTTGTGTATTTAAGAGTCATAAAGAAAATGGATAGGCTGGTAAATGTAATTCACATTGTTTAAAAAAAAAAGTAAAGATGTCTACTTGGATATGTTTTGATCTGTCAGCATAGTGATGCGTAACTTTTCTAAAACTTGAAAAAAAATGATCTTGAGGGTGTTCAAGATAAGCAAATGCATATTTTGAAAATTTCTATGCATAAAACAATCTGTAAATTGGTAACTAAATAAAAAAAAATATATACATATCAATATAATATAGAATATATATATATTCTACTCACTAAGTCTATCAACTATAATTGAAAAGAATTCATCTAAATTCAACATAAAATTTGTGTTAGCTATGTCTAAAACAATAAAAGATTTAATTAATACAAAACAAAACAATACGCTAAAACTTGAAAGAGGAATTTACTCTATTACCTGTAATAATTGCCACAAAGAATACTTTGGAGAAACCTCAAGGAATTTAAATAAAATATTAACACAAAAGGGATATTTTACAAAATGACACATTAAATGCATTAGTTATTCACTGTAATGAGACTGACCACAATTTTGATATTAAAAGAAAAAAAAGTGCTACTCTAATTAAAAGAGAAAACAATTCTCACTCTGTTCACAGTAAATTTGTGTCCAGATGGCAGATCTTCTATTATCACAATGTGGGATACTTAATAAAAAAAAGTTTGGAAACACAAAGGAAAAGAATCTAAATAAAATCAGCTAGATCACATATAAAAAAAAAAATCTTTACATTTAAAATTCCCAGTGTTCGCTCACATTTGTGTGCATGTTTAGTTGTATCCACACAGATTTTCAATTTAGTTCAATGAAGTCCTAAATAACAAAATGCAACACATGAAAAACTTTTACCACTTTGTCATACATCTTACCTATACACATTATTATTATTATTATTATTAAGGCTGCTATTGTAAAATTATTTATTTTATAATTTCTCTTATTAATTATATTTTAATTTTTTTTTGTTTGTTAGGCCTTTATTTCTGATTGGAATTATTTTTTTTTTTTATCTTTTTAAAATTTCCAGCGAGTTTTAAAAGATCTAGTCCAAGAGAAGCTGCCACGCCTTCACGCCTATCTTGAGAAGGAGAGTATCGACTTGTCCTTATTCACCTTCAACTGGTTTCTTACGATATTTGTTGATAATGTTCCACCTGAAACCTTTCTTCGTATATGGGATAGTTTTTTATATGAAGGTAGTAAGGTAAGACAAAATCAATTTTTAATGTTTATCTGTGCCCTTCCTTCTTTGACAGTATTCTGGCAAAGATTTCCTTGAATAGATTCACCATGATAAAAGCATTCTATTTCCTTTAATAAATTCACCATGATAGGAGCATTCTGTTTCCTTTAATACATTCATCATGATAGGAGCATTCTGTTCTGTTACTTCCTTTTTATAAATAATAATAATTTTGAATTATCTCACTTATTGAAGTCAACCTTGTATATTTGACTTTATTTTAGTACCTACCAGCAAGCAAAAGCTCATATACTTGTCATTGTTAATAACTTTTATCCTCACAAGGTACTCAAGGATTCTGGCCTTGTACCAAAATCAAATAATTACCTTAGTGATCTTATCTCTTTAACCTTTAGGGTTCCTTTATAGATATTGCACTACCTATATTTTTGTTTATAAGAAAACTTATTTGAATACACGAACAATAAACCAAAAAGTAACAAAGGAAGAGCTTTGCTTACAGCACATTTCTCAATACAAATGAAAAACATGTTTATTATTTGACTCGCATAGATGTTGATGAGTAAAGAAAAATAATCTTGTTAATGTATTATTTAGCATTATAGAGACCTTTAACAAGTATTTCCCTTATGTCTGTTTTGGTTCTAAAACTTGCTACAAGTTCATCAGCTTGGTTTAAACTTTATCACTCTGTATGTGACTTCATTTGCTGTGCAAAAAATTTATCCTGTTACTGAAGGTGACTCTGATCCTTGAATTTGTTTGAATTTCATAGTGTTGTTGTCATATCTTCCTATGGAAATAAAAAACACCTTTGAGTGAAGTTAACACTAATGTTAATGTAATGGAGAGGCCTTGAAAATGGATGCAGTGGAAAGAGAAGTAATATTAATAATGCAGAATGCTAAAATTTAATAAAAAACTGTTATAATGCCTAATATATTTGATAATCTTTAAAGTTTGGGATTTTTAAGAAATAATAACTTTTTTTTACATTTTTTTCTCAAAAGACGCAACTTAGGAAAAAGCATCCTTTTATCTTAATGTCCATCTGATATGATTAAAGGACAGTTAATTATTAATTAGTTTACTTAATATAAAATTGGCTGAATTTTTATGCATAACATTTTACTATTTTAAAAATTTCTCTACACAATTACAGATTATTAAAGGATATTTTTTTATTTTTAAAGAATATATTATTTATTCATTAGTAAAAATTGTGTTTCCTCAAATTTCACTACATTTTTGCCAAATATGGAATGCCTTTCAACTCATAATTTTTGTATTTTATTCTTTAAAACTGGAGCAGAAACTGTAAGGAGGTATGTATGTATGTATGTATGTATATATATATATATATATATATATATATATATATATATATATATATATATATATACTTGGAAACAATCCCATTATTGAACAAACCAAAAGATTTTGGCTTCAAAATTTCCAAATTGAGACTTGATAAAAACCAAGAGAGAAGTTGGCCAAAATCAAATTTAGGTCAAAGGTTATTGTGGGTAAATATCCAAAGTCTCAAAACTCATAACAGTTTTCACTCTATCAGTTGGAACCCTTTCAAATCATTTAAGCATGATTGTCAAGAAAAAAACTGTAGAAATATTTCCCATTTGATTTGAATAAAATATAAATAAATTAGATATATGAAGACTTGCATTCGTTATGGTAAGTGGTATGAAATTGATTTTTTTTTTATCACATCATCACTTGTGAAAAAGAATATGATGAAAATTAAAGATATATTTTGTATAATAATTTGGAAAGCTCTGCAAATTGACTAGATGGGAATGAGAAACTAAAACATTGATCAAAACAGCACTGTCATCATGGAAGGTCATAGCAAACATTTGTCAGAACAGATTTGATCATACATTGTAACTTTCTTCAAAGTGATCAATCAACCACCTTTAACTATTGTCTACTGTCTATGGATTACCATTTTTTTACAAGTTTTGGACCTCTTTCTTATAAACTATAACTTTAATCAAAATGAAATTGAAGAAACCTTGAATGTCCACCTTTCCTTGCTGCTAAGATGGAAATAAATGCACAGAGACTGAGGAAGAATATTTTGATTGAATAAATAATTTTTTCTTTAAACTTTTCAGTTTATTTTGCCTAAATTTATCAGCAATTTCATGTTGAACAATTTAATTATGTATATATTTACAGAGGAGGAATGGTGGAGTAATGGATAGCGACAGATTGAGGAATTGGAGAGCCAAGTTTGAATTCCACTCAGATCCATTACATTCACTTATGTGTTAATACCCTTGGGGAAGGTATAAATCCTCTTCTTCACCCCTCAGCTATGGGTAAATAGCAGGATAGACCGGGTTCAATAGCCTTGGATGGCAACTGACTGGTCCACCGCAGAAAGAAATGGCAACCTACTGCAGGAAAAATATGGCTTGTCAGTCATGTATTGAAAGATACATGATTGCCTAAACATGTACCATGCATGGCACATAACTAACTGATATATTTACAATCTCAACATTACTTAGTTCAAAGTCAAATTTGAGCAATACGTTACCACCTGTAGGCATAGCAGTAATTTATTTAATCTTTAGAACTTTGTATTATTTCCCTTTGTCTTATATATGGCAGTTCTTTAACTGCTGTAGTATAGACCTTAATTTCAATCAAGGTTGTTTTCACTGTTGCCTTAGCAAGGCATGACAATACAGCTGTGAAATTGAAAAACACAATCATTTAATGATCAATGTCATCTGCAGTGGCTGGATAAACATTTTGCTTGGTGAATGAAATTACCTACAGAATGCTAAAGTTTAAAATATTTTCAACAACCAATAGCCTAAGTTTCAACTGAAAATATTGTTTGATAATTTTATTGGAATTAATCTGTTATAAAATGTCATTCATTCACTTAACCAGTTGTCTAATGCTATTAAATGTTTCAGCAGCACAATTTATCAGTTTTTTTTTTGTTTTTCCTTTGTAGGTGTTATTTAGATTTGCTGTAGCATTTTTCAAAGTTGCTGAAGATGAAATTGTCAGTCAGAAAAATAATATGGCTGTTAATAAATATCTTCAAGTTATGGGTGAAAAAATGGTGAACTTAAATCAAATAGTCCAGGTAAGAAATTCTGTAGCTCATTAGATACTCTAACTTGCTTTCATCTTTACCTTTGTGACTTTATAAACAATTATAAAATAATCATCACTCCCACCTCCAACTATCACTCATTCTTTATTCTTTCACCATTGAAAAAATAAAAAAAAAAATGTTTATATAAAATTTCAGTTAATATTTTGGAAGATATATATATTAAACATTTCAACTCGAGCAAGGCAATAATGCCACTAAGATGCAAGAGGTTACTGTGAGTGAAAGAAAATGAGAAGATGTTAGTGAGGAGAAATAATAATAAAAGAACAGAATTTGGGAAGACAGAAGATGTCGATTGATGTTGCATTTAAATTTTTGAAGATCATAGCTGCCAGGAAAACAAGAAGCTGGTAGAGTGTTCCACAGGCAATAAAAAAAACTATTAGAATAGAACTTATCATTAGTCTAGCTTTTCAACAGTAAAACAATGAAACCTACTTGCCAATCTAGTACTATGCTTAAATTTATGCAGTTAAGATGCCAAGGAGGAAAGCTCATTAGAAATATTGCCATGAAGATATTTATAGAAAAGACATAGGGAAGCCATGTTATACCAGTGAGAAAGTGAGTGAAGGTGAGATGCCAGATCAAGACTGATAACATTACAGACTCTTCTTTGGATTTTATCAAGAATCTTGAGATATTTACCAAGAGCACCAGACCAGAGGTGACAGCAATATTCAGTACACGTCTGTGTGTGTGTGTGTCTCTCTCTCTCTCTCTATATATATATATATATATAGTTATGGTATACTATATTTATTGTATAAAAAATGGGATCATGCTCTATCTGGGATAGAGCATGATCCCTATATATATATATATATATATATATATATATATATATATATATATATATAGTAAAACTAAGAGTTAAATATGACAGTGTTGTAGTGTTAGCATAATTTAAGTGTGTCAAGAGTGGAGAGTATAAATATTTTCCCTTAAACAAGAACAAAAGAGAAAAGAGTTGTCTATATTCAGTCTGTGTAGCTACTTATTTGAGTATCAATAACTACATTACAATGGATAAATTGTCATCTAAATTACACAAAAATTAAAATAACAGTGACATCCCATTTTAACAGTTATATTTACCAAAATTACACAAAAATATCATGAAATACAAAAGAGTAAATTTATTCAATAAAATCACCATTGGCTTCATCCATGGCCTCCAGATGACTTCAGAATCTCCTGTGACTCTTCTGCACAGTCTTCTTCTTTGAGTTTGTGTATGCTGCTAAACTGCGCTCCACACATAATAATTAAGGGGGTTGCAGTCTGGGAAGTTAGGTGGCCAGATATAAGAGGGTGATGTGGTCAAAGAAATGACTGGATTCTCGTGCTTGTGTGGCATCGTACAGAGTCCCGTTGCCAGGCATAAGGTATTCCAGCAGCTACCCTCTTGATGTAGGCCTCCATGTTTGAGGTCCTGTAATAAAATGAATTGAGGCATAATGTTGCCATCACAAGTGATCACTCCAAATACCATTGTAATCACCATTAGATGCATCCAACTCTTTCTGAATCCTCTGCACTGTCCTCAGATTGATACCAAAACTGAAATGTTCATATTGGAGTTTCTGGCACAAATGCCAAGCCGTACAGTATGTCATTTCCAAATTTCTGGCAGAGTCTATTGTGTCATGTTACTCTTTTTTTTCACAGACAGTGCCCAATTATACTGTGCAGTTGACAAAATCATAAACAAACAATGCACATGCACAAGATTAAAAATATATAATGGCGACAATTTACCCATCGCACCTTGTATATGAATTTACAACAGTTTTATGAAGTAAAATAAGTCAAGTTTTAAGCCTTCAATTAAAGACCAGATACTTTGACTAAAATGTTGTGCATGTTTGTAAAACAAAAAAGAAAATGAAAAGTCAATTGCTTTGATAAATGTTTACTAAAGTTCTGTATTGAAGTATTTCCATAAGATTTTGTCAAAATAAAAAAAATGAACGCATAATGTTATAATGAACATATGGTTGCAAGTGAAGGAACAAATAAGGATTAAAAGTTCAACAGCATGTACATGATCAAATTTTAGAATATATACATAGTTGTGTGAAGAGGTCATGTGATTATTTAGTTTCCTTTGGTAAGGCAAGTGATTGGGTGTAAGGATGTTGTTGGTAAGGCCGATAGTTGACTGCTGTGTTGGATTGGTTGGCTGATGTCACAGTTGGTATCAGGAGTTAGATTTGAAGCAGATTAGTAAAGCTAAATATAGCATTGTTGGTGGGGTTGACATATCTTTCTTTAATGTTGAAATCGACCATTGCAAGGTGTTTGATGGTGGTGTGATGAGGCCAAAAATGAAGTTGAACTGCCTGGAAAGGTGCATTGGTAGGGTTGATGTAGGTCACAATGGTGGCAACGAAGGAGGCCTGGAGTGGATAATGAAGGTTGATCGAGCAGAATATCTCTGTTGGATTCTGGCCAAATATGTGAACAATGAAACAGGCTCATGGTGGTAATGATGAGGGAGGCCTGGAGTGGATAGTGAAGGTTGATTGAGTGTAATGTTTCTGTTAGTTTCTGGTCAAATGAGAGGTCAACAAAACATGCTCACCATGGTGACAACAAGGGAGGCCTGGAATGGCTAGCAAAGTTACAAATCTGATTTTGCTGATACAGAGGGTACAAATGTGAAGAGTCAAGTGAAGTCCTAAATCTGTCCTTGTTGATACAGGGGGTGTGAGTGTGAAGAGTCAGGTGAAGTTGTGAATTTAACTTTGCTGATGCAAAGCGTGCATTGGTGGGTTGGTAGGGGAATGTCTCTGTTGAATTCTGGTTGATCTACAAAAAGGGGTCATGGTGGTGGCAACAATAGCATGCTGATGTCAACAGGTGGCCTTCTACTGTGTTGGTTGTTTATAAGGGGCTTTCTTTTAAGCAGATCTTCCCCCCCAACCCCCGTAATCTTTTTTCAGCAAGAACAAGAACATTCGATTGATATTGTATTTTATTGCAGGGATTTGTTTTGTAGACTGCACCAACCTCACCCTTCAACCTCTTTCCCACAGGCGAGATGTGGCAAGCTTCTCACTGTTCTATCTCTACTTCCATGGAAAGTGCTTGGATGAACTACATTTGATCCTACCAAGTTAAACCTTCACAACAAGAACATGCCCTTACATTGTTGCAAACATTTTCTTTGTATTCCATCAGTGAGAATTAAGATCCACTCAAACAGATGCTTCTTGTGAACCACTGCTCTGTAGAACCAACTCCCATCAGGATGTTTCCCCAAACATTAAAATCTTAACCTGTTCAAGGCTAGAGTTACCCATTATCTTCCACTCCTATACGCACAAATGGCTTCCTAGTGTAACCCTCTACCTCAAGTGGCCCCCACTTCTTGTAAAGAGTGAACCTTACTGTAAAACACACACACGCACACACACACACACACACACACACACACACATATATATATATATATATATATATATATATATATATATATATATATATATTGTCCTTACTTTCTGTTCTGTTCTTTTAGATTGCATTCCATTGGCTGAATCCTTTTCCAATGCGATCGGTAGCTTCCAAGAGACAGTTCCACCTTCAGCAAGTAAAGGTAATGGTTCAGTTATGAATGTTGGCAATACAAGTGGATAATCATCTAGCATTATGAGAAATCATTTTCACTGTTTTTTTTTATTTATATAGTTTTGTTTGATTTAATTTTCCAGTATTTTGTAAATAATTGATAAGATTAAAATTCTTGTAACCTCTGATCATTCATTTTTTACTATTTTAATTTGTTTATGAATGTATTTGCTATCTCGAAGAGAGAATGTATATTTTTGGTTTCTCTTCACATATCTTCAAATATAATAACTGAAGTGCAGTGAAAATTTATTCTAATTTTCTCTTTAAGTTATAGAATTGAATTACATTGTCACTTTGAAATTTACCACAATATAACAAGAGGATGGTGCACATTGATTGCATTTGTCTGAAGATCTACTAGCGTATTTACAACATTGTTATAAATGGATAAAATAATTTTTTCTCACTCAGTTATAAAATTGATTGTTTTGGTGAAGATATCACTGATTAGTTACTTTCTAAAAAGCTAAAGTTCTGTCTAAATTTCTGGGATGAGAAGCTATCATTATTTACATTCAGACTGATATTCTCATCTTTGTTGTTGCTATCACAATGTTTCGGCCATTGTGCCCTCTGGTCAGTAATAACTGAGCAGGTACTAAAAAAAGAACAAGACATGTACAGTGGAATGAGAAAAATCTATGCCCATAGATTAAATAAAGTGTTCAGTTCAAAATTCCCTGAAGGTTACCTGGATTGACAGACACCTGAAGAAGGCCAATGGACACAATAGCTGAAATGTTGTGATAATAAAAACAAAGATGAAGATATTAGTCCAAATGTAAATAATAAACTAAATATTTCTTTTAAATTGTGCAATGTCATTTGTCTACAGAAAAAGTAAATCATTCATGGATTTTTTTTTTTGCTAATTATTTTTAACAATTTAGTATCTTTACATGTTCAGCAATTTCAACCAAACTGAAATAATTCATAGTTACAAACAAGGCAACATTTACATTAATCAATTTCATCTGTTTATTTGCCTTTCCTGTCAGTTTTGGTTTAATTTGCTCACTGCTTTGTTCCTAGTTCAGTAATCTTGACAACATAAATTTATAGAAGCTTTATTTGGAATCACCCAGACAGTGCCTATGAATTTATATTAGTTGTCAGTTAACTTTACTCTGAATCAGAAGGTAACAAGACTTAGAAGAGAATTAAGAGAAAAAGTGTTAAAATTAAATGAAATCTGATCAGACTATTTCATTTTTAAGATGTTTCTTTTTTTATGCATATATTCAAGCCAGAGAATGGGCAGAAAACTGGTACTTCATAACCAGTTGCTTTGAAGGCAGCCCATCTAGGGAAAGGAAAACCCTGATTTTAAACCTCCACTGTCTTGCGGCCATATCCAACTAAACACGGAAAAGGCTATGGAAGAAAATCCATACATAAAACCTGGAGTGGAGCCCCAAAGGCAGTTGAATATCAACACTGACAACTCCTGCAGCCCCAAATGTAATACCCTGTATTCCATTAGATCCTGTTGGTATGGCTGAGCATGGGGCCATGTAGCCTGAGCAGCACATGATCTCCATTATACCATTGCCCAAGCCTTGCATCCAGCAGAGGTCACTCCAGTCTCACCACCAAAGGAATGGATTTTGACCAAACAGGATAACTACCTTTTATCTTGTAAGATAAATGGATGCCTGCAATATATACATGTTGGCTGTTGTCTCCTATAAGAAGTTCATCTGCCCTTTGACAGGTCTTGTTTTTTGTCCTGTGCTTCCCTCCACACCAGCAGAAAAGTTAGTAGAGAAGTTAGTTTAGACACCAACCACCTGTCCATGTGGCAGGTTGTACTGAGTTAATTTTTAGTGGTTAAAAGCAGAGTTTTAGTGTTTAAAAGCTGAGAAAAGTAATTTGTTTTCATCATTAAAATTCATAAAAGAAAGTGATATTAAAAAAAATGTGTAACAGTCATTACAAATTTTTCCAGTGCTTTTGCTTAAACAAAAGCTGTATTTTTCTTTGTCATCTACTCAGAGATGCATGATTGTATTTATTTTATTTCAAGAATGAAAATCAATCTCTTAAAATGGAATCCATGAATTCCATTGTAGCCTGGAGTCTTTCAATTTTCCTTACAATTCAACTGAATGTATATATTTTTATTCTTATATGTCCATCTTTGCACTCATGACATTCTTTTTTAATGTTGAATAACTATTCTGTATTTTTATTGTTAATACCCGCCTGCAGTTGCTACAATGGATTCAGTTATTTTCATTTACTTGTCTTTATACTAGTTGTTATTTATTCTATTTTGTCTATATTCTACTTTTAAAGTTGCAGTTATGTATAGCAATTGATGAGAATTATAATTTGAATTACTTTCATTTTAAATTCTATTTCAGGCTGAATTGGCACAATTAGATGCTCTGAGGGAAGCTTATCGAGTATCCCAAGCTGTTGCAAAACAAAACCAAAAAGAACAAGAGGAAGAAATTGCTGCAGAAGAGAAACCAGAAGAGAAATCCTCTGAGATTATCAACAGTGAAGATGATGATTGAAAGATCAGATACTGATAGAAAATCTTTTGTTATTGAAATATATGCAATTCAAGTAAATTGTGATGGCAACTGGAAAATAAAATAAAATGGAAGTAAAAAAAAAAAAAAAAAAAATGATGGTGCTACATATACATATTCCAGTTGGTATGTTGTCTGAAAATGTTATTTACCACTGGATTATAACCTGTATATAAAAATATCAATGTTGTATTATGTCATAGTATTTCAGCAACATTATTTGATAGTGTGAAAATTTTCCACTGTCTCCAAAGATCAACAAGAATGAAAAAAGAAAAACCCCACCAAACAAAAAAAAAAAAAAAGAATTTAGAATTTGATTATTTACTGTTTTAAATAACTAATCAAAAAAATTCAATTTTTATAAAATTCTTTTTTTTATCTTAATTTTAAACAAATGTTATAAAAAAAAAGATAAAGAAAAATGAAACCTATTAAGGTTGATATTATTTTTTTTTTTTTTTTAAAGAGATAATTTTTTTTTTTGTTTTACATTCCAGGTTTCATTTTGAAACTTGTTTTTAAAACAGGACTGAGATATATTGTAACTTAATATTTGAAAAATACTGCTCTTTCTCCTTTTAAGTAAAGAAAGCAAAAGGACTTCTTGCTGAAATTATACATTAAATATGTGCTTACCTGTTTTTAAAAAAATTATATAAATGAAAATTTGTTGATTGAATTTTAAAATTATCAAAAAAATATTCAGAAAATAATTTTTAAAAGAATTGATAAAATGCCTTCCCAATGGTGCAGTTGAAACATTTTCTTCAGTCAGCTTTTAAGATGGTGAGTGAGTGTTTAAGATTTTTTTCTTTAGCAGAGTTTTCAAGATTATTAGAAAGGAAACTATGCATATTAGTGACTAACTTTGTAATTACTTGTGTTATATCTTATGCTCAAATGTAATTTTAGTAGCATATATATATATATATATATATATATATATATATATATATATATATATATATATATATATAAATTGTGTGTTTGCACATACACATGAAATAGGAGAAATTTGAATATTTCCATTGTCTTTTATATGTAGAGCTCTAATTTTACAAGCATTTTTTTATGTGCAGTAAGAAAATGATTTGTTACTTTATTGTATCTGGATTTGATTAAAAAAGAAACTTCTCTTTTTAGCTGTATCATGTATTTTAAAAGTGCAAAATATTTTAAATTTTGGTTATATTTCAAACCAAAAGCTGAAAGGTTGCCTATTAATTTTGTAGTGTTCCTTATGTATTTGTTAGTGTCAGGCATAGATTGATTGAGAACTTAGTGCCAGAACTAGACTTCATTGCTAGATTACATATAGTTTGTAATAATCATCTCCAGTTCACTTGATATTCATAGGTTTGTAAAGAACTAAATGTGTGGACCAACATTATTTCTATAGCAAACCCCTTTAATATATCTGTTAGTATAGATCTAAGGTAGTTTAGTACATATTGCCTGAACTTGGAAATTGTTTCTGTTTCATAATCCCTACCCTTGTTTCTCAAGCATTTTTATAGATTTTTTTTCTTAAATCATCATTCCATGTTTTATATATTTTCTTAATCATTAATTACTAGGGGCACATATTTGTAAGAGATAACAAGTCCCTATTCATTATTACTTGACTTACTTTTTTAAAATTCTTTTTGCAAGATTTCATTTTTATTTTGTAAAGACATTTTGATATCATTTATTTATCCTAAAGACATTTTTGATATTATTGGTTTATCCTAAACACAGAGATAATTTTATAACCCCGCCTAATGAATTATGAAAAGTACTATAAAAAGCAAAACAATTTTTTTAATTGTCTATCTTATAATTAAATAGTAATTACCAGGGGTTAGATTTAACCACACTAGATAAGAAAAATAATTTTTTTTCCTCATTAGCCTGGTGTGTTCTTCCAAGAACAATGACAATATACTCAAGCTATTTATTATATACATGCATAGGAATTGCTGTTGCTGACAGCTGATAGAAAAAAAAACAATGTTTTATTGGCTATCCCAAATTTGTCATCATTTTTTTACTATGAATGACATATGTTTACATATGTACATCACTTTCACATAGACATTCCACTCTTAAAAATATAAAATTGATTTAGGATTTATCTTGTTCCTGTATCTTTCTTTTATCTTAAGAGTATCATTTGTTATCTGATCTAAATTAAGGAACAGATCATTGAAAATATTATTGAAAAAATATAAATAACACTTAAATCACCAATAATAATTTAGTTAAAACTTTACTTCAAATGTTTATGATTATGTGTAAGTATAAAAACATACAACAATTTCCTCTTTAAATTATAAAATGACTAAAATAACCAATTCCTTATCTTACATTTTTATGAGTTAATCAGAAATTGTTTGGAGAATAATGTTACAAGGAAAAGTAAAAATTGTCTTTGCAGATATAGAGGACTCTTGCCATTTTAAAAAATGTTATTTAACTGATATAGAAAACACTGTTATTGACCAAATGCCTCCTTCTAGTGCCTGTAAATGCATATTTATCTTATATTTTATTTGGTATGTTTATTTTATATATTTTTACAGCATTCTTTGGATTATCAGGAATAAATAAGACATTTTAAGAAACAAAAAGGAAATTTTGGTATTCAAATTAGAAACCCACAAGATGCAGTGATGAATTTACCAACAGAATAATATATAAAATCATTTCTTAAGCTGTTTGTCAAGAAGAGTTTGAAAGATTTTAATTGTTGTAAAACAATGAATAATGAATATTGTTGAAAGTAAATTAGATATGCTTTGACCAATTGAGTAAAGTGGGACTTGTGTCAAACTAACTCCACCTTAATAACAACTAAGACATCTAGTCTATTCTTAGTATCTATCTTGACAATTTGATTTGACTCATTGGATCTAATGTTACTATAGCTATCTATATTAAAGCATGCTATCCTAACAACTAACTTGGTAAAAGGGTTAGATTTAATTTAATATGCACCCACAACATTCTAGTCTTTTATTTAATTATTTGTACCTGATACCTTAAAAATCTGTTTCATGTTTTATGAACTTGAGGTTACATTTTTTTGCTTTTGTCATTTAAGGAAGAATTCAAAACAAATTTAAGTTTTCCTTGTTATTTTTGTTCCATTTCGACTTACAATTTTAGTTATTTAGTCTTATACTGTGAGTAGACTTAACAAATTACAGGTATGTCTGTATAAAATATGTATTACATATGGATTTTATAAGTACAAAACTGACTAAAGTGAGCATGAAACCTGAATGGCTTGTTTCAGCTTAAGATAATTCATGTTTATTCCCAGGTTCAGACTTAAGCATTTTCATTATTATTGCTATTGATGAGACACACCATTTTTTTAATCATCAATTCAACTATGTATGTATGTATGTATGTATATCACTAATAACAGATTCAAATCCTCCAAAATAAGAAAAATCCTAATCAACAATACCAAAATTGTTTACAAAAACAACTGCAAAATACACTTACAAATCCTTGAAGCCATCACAATTAAAAACAAACACAAATAAAATAGGATTTAATACTGGCAGAAACATCTTATATTTAATAACTAATCCTCAAAATAATAAATACCAATATAATAAATATATAATGTGTGTGTGAGAAACAATATTCATTGTTCTTTTGTCTTTAGTCATGTGAGGAAACCTAACTAATGGGACATAACTCTTATGTATACTTTCCAAATAGCAAAAATTTTTATAAGCTGATGCATCAGGGAAAAAGTAAATGTTTGACCTGTACTTAGTTTTTATTCCAGACTGAAGTTTTGCATTTACTGATTTTCTTTTTTTTAAGCACATGTGGGTTTTTGTACATCATTTGGGAAATTTGTTTTATAATTACTTCATTGGGAATAATTGTAGAACTTAAATAAATTCTAAAGCAAATTAACAATTCCTAAGCTTGGACTCCAACAAATGTTTATACCAGCTCATTATATTTGGATATCCCAATCATTATTGTGATACTACAGAAAAATGTGATGAAAGGAATAGTTTCTGAATTTAGATATTTCTGTAATTTTATCTTCTTTAGGCTTCTTTTTTAAAATTTTATTTTTCTAACTTTCTGAAATTTAATTGTCTCAAAGAAAAACTTTAAGTATCAGATATACCATCTTCTTTTTGTCATATACAAAGTAATTTTGTGTTGTTATTTCATGTCATAAAAAGGGCTCTTTCTATTATTTGTTTTTTTTAATTACTTAAAACTTAATAAAATTTGCCTTTATCTTATAAAAAATAATATAATTTTTGATGGTGCAGAGCAACATTTTTTCTAGCACTTTTATAGCAACATGACCACATGTTTGATGTTCTCTATCAAATTCATCAAAACACTAAATAGTAATATAAATAAAACTCTTGTCAGAATTTAAAAAAAATATTTCCTGTTCTTACATTTTTAATGTTTTAGATATTTTTCAACTTGTTCTGTAGAATATATACATACATACATATATATACATATATATAAGCAATCTTCAAACTTTCAACTGGAACTCTTTGTCATATAATATTTAGTTCAAGTCAACAAAAATTAAATATGAAAGCTTTTAATAAATGTCTTTGAATACTAAGTTGTAAATGTTGAAAATTACTGAATTGGGTGCTCATACATTCCATATTTGTATTTTTTTAAGGTAAGTAAAAAGAAAAATAAATAAAAACTTGTATTCCAGTTTAAAAGGAATAAGTGTTCTTAAGAGTGAATTAAAAAATGAATTTAACTATAATTTGCAATGAATAAAAACAAGTAGCTTCCATTGATTTTAACCTATAATATTATAAAATACCAAATTCCATTATGTTATACTATCTGGTGTTGTATGATATTTGTTTTCAAGAAAATGAAATAATTTGTATCATTGATAATATTTCTACTTTGATTGTGTATAGAATGTGCCCACCACTTTAAAATTGTTGTGGTAAATATAATTTTTTAGTGGT